ACACAGACAACCTCTCGTCAATATGCATTTTTCGCATTGCATTGCTGCAAAAAACGCATAAAAAAACACAAGTAGTCAAGTTTCCAAACCCAGACTGGAACGCACCACGCAAGTCGATGCGATCATGCGTTTTTGCACCAAACTTGAAGTAATTAGGCTAACTGCATAAACGATTGTTTCTTCACACCTACCTTGTGTGCTCAATACCGTAAATCATCGTAAATTTTGCATAAAAAGAAACAAACAATTTCCGTTTAGCGGTCGTTTTTTGAAAATGACCCCGCTGTTCAATGAGTAATTTCTCCGCCTAAGTTTAAGTGCCCGTACACGAGAACCACGCGTACATGGAGGCTGAGTATGAAACCTCTAGGTTGTATTTAAACGGGGGATATTCTCCTAAAATCTCAGATTTTCAGCTTTTCTGGTTCCCGAGTTGGTAGTTTTCCCGCCAAAGCTTTCTTAGGGCCGCACATTACCTGAGAGCATAACTGGAGGCTGTGTTTGGAATCTTTAACTTGTAGGTAGGCTGGGAGCATCTCCTGGAGATTTCAGCCTTTTAGCTTTTCTGGCTCCCGAGTTAGCCATTTTCCCACTAAAAAATTTAACGGGCCGTTATGACAATCACGCATGCCTGAAGGCTGAATTTGACAAATTTAAGTAGAATATAAGCTGTGAACATTCCCTTAAAATTTCTGCCTCTCAGCTCTCCTGGTTCCCAAGTTAGCGATTTTCGCATCAAGAACCCTTACGAGGGTGTAACGCGGGAACCGTGCACTCCCGGGGGCTGAATTTGGAATTTTTGAGCTCTGTGTAGACTGGAAAGATAATCTCAAAATTTCAGCTTTCTAGCTTTTCCTGTTCCCAAGTTAAAAATTTTCCCGCCGAAAATTTCACCCTTTCGTATGTGGAACCGAGACTTGCGTAAGGGTTGGTACCGCGGTTCCGGGGTGCTACATGGCTCAGGGCAATAAATGTTTGTATGAACTAACGACGTCCAAGCATCGCTTTCTTCCTCATTGTTGTTCGGCATCGGCGCCTCTTCCTTCACCATTGTTGCTGCTTTGGGCTAAAAGTGTTGTGTTTTTTTTTTTTTTTGACTGGAAATCACCTAATTTTGCAAGTTACCCTATTTTTTATATACCTCTGTTAAACATGTTGCATTCTCAAGCTCCTTCCCCACGCTTTGCGCCACTACAGGCACATAACTGGAGAACATGTATCTGAAAAGGTTATCTTTGCACCCATGAGTTTCTTGTGTGTATTTGTGTGTGTATGTTTGTGTGTGCATGCGTGCGTGTATGTATGTATTTATGTGTATATGTAGATACATATATATGTGTGTAGATGTCAACTTCTGTGCCGACGAGGCGACTGTTTCCAGCATGAGGTACCGTGGTGGAGACGTGATGGCCTGAGATGCAAAAGATGAAAGGGAATGGAAGGGGAGGGCTAAGCTGCATGACCGTATTCTACAACTTCTTGCAAATGAGTGTTCGGGAACTGGCCTTGGAAAACGAATTTCCTTTCTTCTTCGACGTACCATAGCGAGCCTTGTGAGGTGCTGCTGCCGCCTTTGCGCTTGTACGGTGGCGCTTCAGTACATTACCCATTGCCCTGCAATTTTCACTGATGCAGCACCATCTATGTCAACGCAACTTTTTATTTTTTCTCTAAATCTGAACATCAAACTCAAAGTAATCTTCGTTCATTTGAACAAACCAACACAAGTGCTAAGACCGCGTAGACTATCATTTTGGATATCCCATGTTTGTGATGTTGCTGGGATGCTCCTATACTCCGAACGCAGCTATGCCAGAGCATCCGGTCCTGGTCTTTATGCCTCCAGTTAGCATCTACCCTTTGTTCGATGTTTGAATGCTACCAACAGAAATAGGAGCTCATGAACCTACTACAGCACCTGTTGTTTGCTTATGTCTCCCACTATGATTCCTGAATTATCTGTTCCTTAAATCAGTTTCTGCACTTTTCCTTTTGCTGCGGTCAATTTTGCTTTGGAAGTTCGCGGTAAAAGAAGGAACCTGGTAATATCTTTTCCCTAGAGAAAACATAGTTTCCACGGATCTTTTAATACATTTTCATAGCTCTACTACCATCTTTCTTTCTTAATCTTTTTGCACTCCGTTTTTAACAACACTCATATCATTATGCGTTTTTGCAGTGCAGCGCCAGCGCGCTGTGACAGCCAGCAGAAACGCATATGGTGACGACCAGGTCTATATATGTTTGTTTTCATTTGTCCGGGTGATCTTTAATTCGGCAAATAAGCAATCTTAGATGTAGAAATTTTGTCAGTTGCGATCCCAGGAATACGATACCAACTTTCGCGCACATCTGAGTTTCATATACGAGCACATGGAATTTTCGGCAAGGAAATTGCAAGCGCAAGAGCCGGAAAAGTTGGAAAGTTGAAATTAGGGAACATCCCCTATCCAGTGCAATAAAAAGATTTCTGATTCATGCTTGCTTAGTTTACGTAAAAGTTTTGGCGGGGAATTGTTAGCTCGGAAACCAAAACAGCTATCACTTTCAGTGAACAGCCGGTCAATGGAAATTATCGTAAATTTCGCACGGAGGAAATAAATAAAGAGGGCAGAATTTAAATTTAAAGCAACAACAACCGACCGGTGCAAAAACGCTAATTGCTTGATCAAGTTGGCGCAAAAATTCACGATTGCGGGAGCGAACCCAGTGCACCGCAACCTAGGTGTTATCTCACAATTGCAGTTTGTAAATTCTTATAAGCTACTCTAACAGTATGGGCCCAGAATCCTGACTGTAGTCCACGGGTAACACCAATCGCCACCTACTTCTTACGAAAGACTGTTAAATCGAGAGCAACGAAAAAAGCAACCAAACACTTTATTCTCGTAGAAATTAGAATGTGAACTCACTTCGCATTCTTTACTTTTATGCTCTCATTGCTCGTAATAGCACTTGTAAATTTTGATATTACCAGATGAGCAGCAACAACTTTCTGCATTCGGAATTAAGCCATAGTCAGTAAAACAGTATGCATAAAATAATACACAGTAACAAAGCATTGAGGCTTTTTGTGTCCGTTTGTGTGTGTGTGTGTGTGTGTGTGTGTGTGTGTGTGTGCATGTACGTGTACGTGTTTGTTTTGTTTTTTTTTTTTTTGTACGTAATGTCAAGACGCAACTATGACTTTCATAATCGACACTATCTTAACGGCATCGGCAGCACATGTTCCTGTAGAAAGTTAATATGGCCTGTTAAGCAAGTAGGATATTATGCAAATCTTACATGAACATGTAACTCAGCGTATAAGCACAACTATACTGAAATTTGCAAAAAGACCAACGCGTGCACGTAACTTGTAGGCATGTACACACACACGCACAGAAATACATATACAAACGTACGTATATACAGGTAACGTAAAAGTGCACTCAAAATATCCACATAAATATTAGTAAAGTAAGGGGGATAATTGACTTAGTAGATTATTACTATAGTGTTGAATTATTTTTGGTAATCCAGGATTCCGAGCAGATAAAAATTCATCCATTTTTTGCCTCTTGCAGAGCAGCAGCCAGTTAGCCTTCGTGCATCTGTAACGCATCAATTCGATTAGTTTTTGAAACTCAGAGAAGTTTTTTTTGAAACCCGTTAAATCTGTGCCATTTGTGCTATTTCTTGATTCTGAGTTCCCTTCGATCGCTATAAGCTCTGATATTTCAAATGCTTCGTCTGCGAGTTCGGCTGTCCTCTCTTTTTCTTGCCGTCAAGCTGCTTCCAGGCTCACTTCTTGTTTCCTCCTCCTGAGTCGTTTCCGTTGAACTAATGGGTTGTATGCTTTGCGTTTTCAAGTAAGGCTTTGACGACCATTTTAGTGGCTCTGCATGTGACAATGTGCCGCTCTCTGACGGTGGCGCCTCCCACTTCTGTGAAGAGTTTTGTGGCAGAGCCTCTGGAACAAATATCCTACTTGATAATTGAGTGGAACGTAAAACTGGCCTCGCAGTCTTTGGTCCCTCCTCCACCACTTTGTACTCCATTCCTACGTTTGGGTTTATTAGCGGAATGGCGCCAACCCTCGCTTCCATAGATTGATTCATCATTTGAGAAGTACCAATGACCTTTGTCTCTGGGTCCAACACTATTCGAGGAATGCTAGCAACTGTTTCGCCAGAATGACTGTGCGCCTGAACTGGATCAACACAGGCCTGCTGAGAGTGGCTTCCTGTTTGTGCTGGACCAACAGCCTGAGCCAATTGCGAATTTTGTGAAGACCGTTTAGATGAACTCTCTAAAAAGAATTTCAGTGCGGACTTCAGTTTCTCCATTCCTGAAATGTCTTCAGTTTTATCATCGCCTTCTTCTTCATCTTCTTCTTCGTCCACCAGGTTCTGCTCATCCGTTGGTTTTGCATGTTCCGCTGTAAAAAGTTGTGGTTTTGTTTAAAAATCAAATACATCTCTGAAAGACTTGGTTAGCTGATAATCTGACACAGGGTGTCTTCTCCCACATATCCCACTGGCACTAAAGAACTGCTTATAACACTTTCTGTAAGAAATGATCGTTGTGAGATGGAGTGTGAAACGGAAATTTACATGTGAGCTGGAGGCTACGTAAGTTTCAAAGGACATTTCATTTCAGAAGAAGAAAGAAGCGGAAGGAGGATTCAAAGACCAATGGCGAATCAAACAGTTCTGGCATGGTTCCCAAGTGCCAGGAAAATGGCGACAATGAAACGGCGCTTGATCAAAATTCCAAGTGTTGCTAGTTTGTGATGCATTTATCAACGGACGAATGAGTTGAAAGAAGTAAGGGAAAAGGGGACGAAACGAAAACTCAGGTTGGAACGCACCAGGCTTGCCAGTGCGATCATACGTTTTAGCACTAAACTTGCAGATCGCTAACAGCAAGAATGAGCCCTGCGTTGTAGCCTAAGACCTGGGCTCATACTGTCCGTGCTCTGGCTTATTCCAGCATCCAGCAGAAAGAGGTTAGTTTGGATGAAGGTGTTGCATTATAGGACAGTGTGGACCATCAGGTACATGATTATCAGTTTTTGCGTGAAGCCCGGTTGTTTTCCCACTAAATGCTCGCTCTTCGAGAAAATGCAAATTTCCAGTTCACTGAGAAGTGGAAATGTTGCTAGACCGTCAAATTATTGGCCAACGTACGGGCTGCCCGTGCGAAAATGCGTTCTTTGCATAGTTCCCCGCAGACTTTTGTCGCTTATGGCACTGTTTTTTTCCGGCAGCTTCTAGCTAAAAGAATTTCAGACTGGTCGCTAGGACTGTCAGGAAACGTCCCTTCAAAATTCCAGTCTTCTCGTTTATCAAGTTTCAGAGCTAGCAACTTACACGAAAAAATCTTTCACGGGCACATACATAGGAATGACTCTTACCCGGGGCTAGGTTTGAGATCATTAATGCCTACGTGAATGGGGAACATTCTCTTAAAATTCCAGTCTTCTAGCTTCTCAGATTCCCGAGCAACCAACTTGCCCGAAAAAAAATTTGGCGGGCCCGTGCGTGAGTACCGCGCATACCCGGTTTCCGGGTTTGAGTTCACTGAGACTTATGCTGACGGGTAACACCCCTCAAAATTTCAGCTTTCTAGCTTTTCTGGTTCTCAATTAGCGAATTACCCGCAAAAAACTTTCGGGGACTCGCGCTTGGGTACCACGCGGGTAATAGAGCCCATTTTGGGGAATGGGGCTCGTACGCCCATGTAGATCAAGTTCCCAAAGTTTCAGCCCTGTAACTTTTGTAGGTCTTGAGATGGAAAACCGTGAGAGACGCACACACGGACACACAGACACAGACAACCCCTCGTCAATATGCGCTTTCTGCATTGCGTAGCTGCATAAAAAAGGAAACCCAGGCTGGAACGCACCAGGCGAGCCGGTGCGATCATGCGTTTTTGCATCAAAACTAAAG